AGTTAGCACCAAGTGTCTGAATCAAATATTAATCGCTCCGTTTCTAAATAAAAATCATTTTAAAAAAATATTTTTTTATTCGATGGATGTCGTTTTAGATAGATTTTTTCAAAATATTTTCCAATTTTACCTTAATCAAAATTATATAATTTCAATAGAGTATTAACAAGAATTTGGTTTAATGAATGTACATACGATTTTTTTTTATATTTCTTTACAAATCTGGAAAAAAGCTAAACCCTCGAAATTTTTCAAAGAGCTAACTAAGTTCACTGAAAGGCCCTTTGAATGGAAAAAAACCCTTGTAAGATTAAAAAAAAAAAAACAGATTGACAGAATCTGAACATTAACTATACAGACAGAAATACCTGGTTTGAATTTTGGACACTTCCAATGTTAAATAATCTAAATCAATATCCTTAAAATGAAGAGAATGTAAAAAAAAAAAGGTAGAAATTGCCAGATATACAGAGATTTGTTTCATTATTTGGAGAGAAAAAATTTGGTAAAATATTATCTGGAAAATTAATTTGGGTTGAATAGTTTTCTTCTAAATTCATATATAACAATCCGGTATAAGCAAATAGTTGTGAAATCCCGGTATGGTCACCGGTTTAGAAGGCGTTCAATTCAACTTTCTTAAACATCACGTTCCCCCCCCCCCCCTTCTTTATACATGCATTTGCGTGCATTTTACTACGGATAAGAAATTTACCAATCAAACCAAAACAGAAACCGGTCAAGTGGTTAAACAAAGAAAACCAAACCAAATACTGGTCCGTAAACCAATTACCGGCGTCTCCGCTGGGCTGTGGGTGGTAATTTCTCAGATGGGCCGGTCGGAAGCTTGCGGCCGGTTTTCTTTTCTAACATGTTCTTCAGCTCTCTCAGTATCCGTATCTGTCTTAACTTCTCTGGTGACAGTTTCTCCCAATAGATTCCTGCATAGATATCAACACGGAACTATCGAATCAGATTTGAGAATTCGGAAACTCTGGTGAGGAATTCTTCATGATGCCATCTGGGTTTCTGGTTGAAAAAATGATCGATGAGGCAAAACAAAACCTTGAGGTTTCGGGATCGATGTACTTGTGAATATGACTTGAGTTGGAGTGCATACAATATCCACAGGAACGTCGTGAATTGCCAGTTTCTCTCGGGGTATGTCATCTACGAGCTGACAGTCATGAACTGCAGAGAAGAAGCTCGTTTTTTATGGATGGGTGAACATGAAATATGATTAAAGGTTGAAGCTTTATCAGTCACCGGTTGTAATAACTGGTGTTGAATCATCGATGGCTCCCATGTATCGCAACATTCCATATTCGAGTTCTGCAAAACCCTGCAATTCAATGAATCTGAAGGCTGACTGATCATACCGTAACAAGTGCATATCACATGCTTGGTAAGTTCGTTTTTGCAAGATTCCAGTTTATAGATTATTACCTCTCCCTTCCCAAGTCGAGCACCTGTTTTTGGATCAACGGCAACTGAGCCTATGATAATGAGATCCACCTTGATTTTCTCATCCAGTCCAATCGCTCTTCC